CCATGCCTGATACCAGCCAGGATGCTGTTGGCCTTCTTGGCCACCTGGGCACACTGCTGGCTCATGTCCAGCCGGCTATCAACTGGTCCTTTTCTGCCGGGCAGCTCTGCAGCCACTACTCCCCAAGCCTGTAGCATGGCATGGGGTTGTTGTGACCAAAGTGCAGGACCCGGCATTTGGCCTGGTTGAACCTCATACGATTGACCTTCACCCATCGATCCAGCCTGTCCAGATCCCTCTGTAGAGCCTTCCTGCCCTCAAGCAGATCGACACTCCCGCCCCACCCTGGTGTCATCTGCATTTAGTCACCTTGATGCAAGGCTGTGGAGTGCACGCTTTATCTGGGCACTTCAGATAAAAGCCCTAGCAGAAAGGCTGCTCTGAAATACTCAATATTGTCCAGCCAGTGCTGGTGGGACAAGCAGTGAGCAGAGCTGCTGGGAGGACCCCATGCCACAGGGGCCGTGCACGCTCCCAGGACCCCCAGCAATCACAGAATTAGGGTAAGGGTTCTTCCAGCAGCTACGGAACCAGGGCATGGCAGCAACAAACAGGGGGTAGCAGCTCAAGGGCTGAAGTTTTAAAGGTGAAGAGTACGGATGCGCAGATTCTTGCTATGTCCTGAGACTCCTCCCCACCACTTTTGGGTAGGTTCTGTATTAACCACTTGTTACTGGTTACAACAGCAAAGCACAAAGCAGTACCCGTCCCGCGTATCTGGCACGATACACTGGAGGCAATGCCACAGTTTAACAATTACTGCTGGTGTAAAGGGAATGTAACTCAGGACAGAGCTGTCGATGACAGGCATGCAATTGGTAATGAATGGCCCTGCCCCACGGAGGGACCACACACAGTAACGATGAGATGGCCATGTCTGAAGGAGCACCTGGACGAAGGCGACAATGAGAGGTGAATCTCGAGCATGGCAGGGCAACCTCAACCTTCCCTTCTTTTATAGGCCAGAGAACGATACCCCTTTGCATCTCCCACCCGTCTTCCTCCTTCATCAATGTTCTCTAGATGCAATTCTTCAAAACAGCTTTTGACAGAACAAGAGGAAAACGTCACAGCAGTTAATGTGCTCCTCAATACAACCCTGTTTGAAGCAATGCACTTTTAGGAATTACAAGATTAATTACTTCAAATTCCCTAAACTCCTGTATCATGCCAAAAAACGCATCTATAGTAGTCATCCTACAACGGGCTTCTTGGCCGTGCTTGGCTCAATGAAGACCTGAAGGTTTGTGCTCAGAAGAAAACATGTAAAATACATTTAAAACACATTGAAAATACTGTTTTACTGAAAGTTATTGCTACGACCAAGAAGAAGCAGCAGCATATTTGCAACTAAAAGCCTGAAGACCTCTAAGGTCTTGATAAAGAAATGCTGAGATCCCAGAGGGGTCCTCTGAAGGTCAGCGTGACAGAAACAACCGGAGACACAGGGAGGGAAGACAGCTTGCCTCGACATAGTGGCAAGGTCTGGAAAAACACTCCAAGCCCATCCGCACAGTTCCCCGCTGCAGGTTGTATGCTTGCCTATTTACAATTAAATGACATTTAGCTAAAATCTGTCCAGAGCCTGTTACAGCATCCGCTTCCACAGGTGCCTGCAGCACTGGTGAATGCAGGGGGATCTGTGTGCCGGAGGCTTCAGCCTGCCGGGCCCCAGGCATGCCAGGGCCCCTCTAACAGCCTGCAAAAACCTCACTCTCAGCATCTGCATCTTGTTCCTCGAAACGCCTCGTGACCACAGGTACAGCACATTCCTAAAACACCATACAGCAGACTGCCTTTCTAGGTATCCACTATACAGCATTACGTTTTGGAGGGAGGAGGCAGGGAACAGAATCAGAGCTCTCTTCAGTGCTAACAATAAGGGAGTTTTTCCAAAGCTGCACATATTTCAAGCCAGTGCCACAATACCAAAACGCGCCCTTCTTGCAACTGTTATTGAAATCCACAAACTCTAAAGGACTTCTTTTGAAAAGCACGCTCATCCCACACAACACACGTCTGCAGATGTGCTGGAGCCCACTGGTGACCGTACCAGACTACCCGGTAAATTCAAGTTTGCAACCATAAGGCCGGGGCAGAATCTGACCCCCTCTCCCTGTCGGTTACAATAAAAAGAGCAATAGAAAACACATCAGTAGCATACCAATGATGTTAAAAATACATACCAGTATATCCAGGCAGGCTGCTTTCAGTAGAGTTATCTGGTCTGCAATGGTCAAACTCGTAAAGCCTGGCAATCGCTTTGCAAATTCCACTATTTTAATAATGCACTTTGTTGCAAGTTCACTGAATTTGTCCCAAAGCCCGAGGTCCAGTCGAACCCGGTGATCTGCGCTGGAGTTCTGGAAAGACAGATGGAAGGCACCATAAATCAACAACGTCCCTTTCAGTAAATGGTTTTCAAGCAAAAGAAACAACAACCGAGTATTCCTTCCAGAAGTACTTTCTATTAACATTCCAGGCATTTTCTGCAGCTTGCTGTTGGGATGATGCTGGTTTTAAACTTGGATTAATTGCCTGAAAATTCCTTGGATATTTCTCTGTTACTTACGATTGCAGAGGCCATCTGTACAAGGAATACAAATGAACTTAAACATTTCCAAATGCCACTACCATTATTCTTCCTTGCCATTATATAATAAGTGCATTGAGAGAGACAATTTACAGTTGTACCCCAGAAAACATAAATGAACAGTGGAACAAGAAGATCAGGTCCTCATCTGGAAAAAGCAGCACAATATTTGGAACGTAGTTTCACATACTTAAGTTCTTAGCAAATTAGTTCTACTTAATTTATCTGCTCTGTTGCTCTGCAAGAGTTTTACAGCTTTCTCAAGCTACAGTCGCCCATGAATTAAAGAGCATTTCTCTACACAACGTTAGGAAAAACACCATATGCGCTGACGAATGCTATATGCTCCTTTGGCGACGCATCCAACATATATCCTACCGTTTGAAGTGTTACAAGGACATTCCAGTTGCATCTTCCAGAGACTGTTTCCATATATTCACTTATGTTAACCAGAACGTCTGTAACTTGCTGGGATGCATAGCAAATCTGTGTCAAGCTTGTGATTAAACTCATGTTTTCACACATTCAGAATAACCACTTAACCCCTGAAGAAGTTAAACGTGGCAGCCAAGAACCAGCAGACTCAAAAGTTCCTGCGCTCTGTTTGACGCTAGGCCAAGAAAAGGTGGTGGCATGGGGAGACCTGATGAGTTGCTTCCAACCCACCCGTGACTCCTGTGGGGCGACGAGAAACGGGTAACGACAGAGCTCTGAAATACGTGGGGCCTCCCTCCTGTCTCCCCAGCAGCCAGCCCATTCACATTTTGTCAGCACTTCGTGCTCTGCGCGATGCAGCCAGTGTGATGGTCCCCACCACCACCTCATGAACCACCAGGTTCAGTGTCCGTTGATCTGGGCGACCTCCTCTTCATCGCAAGAGGAATTTTACCTGTAAAAACACGCTGGTAATGAACTCGCAAAAGGTACTGAGCTGCAACCACACAAAACCAAAGGCAGAATTTCTCTCTTCCACGTCTCATCTGAGCTTGTTGGCTAATCAAGAAAGAGAGAGGCATCTCCAAAAAAAGGCCCCCCCACTCCAGACAGGTAATTAGCAAGGGAAAATCCTCTCAGAGGTGGCTTTCTCCCCAGCTGCAGAGGAAGCCGATGTGATTAGCTGCCTTAGTCTCAGCTGGTTGAAGTTAAAATGTTAAATTACCTTTAAAATTAAAACTAAATGAGAGAAGTCTCAACCTAAAAGTCCAACAGGAATGGCAGACAAACAGCCATCGAAAAGCATTCAGTTTACACAGATCGCACTTTCTCGGAGGAAACACCTCTAGTGACGCTGCCGCCATCGCTGCTGACGGCGACGACGTCCACCTCCTTGGAAACCTTTGAAGCCATCAGCTTTCTTCGGTTCACGGGAAGGACACAGGGCCTGAAGGCATCAATGAGGGGATGCAGGGCAAGCTCAGCTTGGCTGCGATGCTCTGACACCCAATCCTGGGGCTGCCTTCGCTGACGCCATTACCACCGTCAGTCACGAAGGGGAAAGTCCCGACAAGTCCCAAGGGTGCCACCAGCCCAACATTCACCCTCACTTGCAACAGGGTGGAGCTTCGAGCCCATAATATTTATATTAGGCCCTTACAGTGAAAAATAAATGCTAACCATGCTGAACAGTTTGAAGGTGCATAGGTGCTCTTTCCCACTCCTCCTCTTTTTACGGGATAAAAAATTAACGGCATCATTTCTATTTGAATTTTTATTCTGGTAACTTCCTCGATTTTGTTTTCTTTTTTTAAATGACATAAGAAAATATAGGGTAAAATGTCTTTATAATCCTAAGCCTAAAGAATTGCCTTCAAAATGGTCCAAAACTAATGGGTTAACAGTCATTGTAATGCCCTTTGAAACATTTCTTTCGGCGACTGGAGTATGCATCCTTCAGATTTATTTTATTTCATCCTCAAGGACCTTGGTGAAATACAGTACATTGGAGGAAAAATAAGATCAAGATGTGCAGTCATTCAGGCTGTAATTAAATTTAATAGGCAGTTTATCCAGTTCATAGAAAGATGGCATAGAGGAGAGCTACACAAAGCAGAGCCTAAAGGAGGAAATCATTTTACAATAGGGTATCCATCTGGAAAAAAAGACGTTGCATGAAACCAGCAAGTGTGAACGAAATCTTCATCAGTATCATATGAGGTTACTTTGTCATGCTGCAGTACCGGCAACGGGAAGTTTGACATGTCTTCTATTAAGAGTAATGCACGGCCGTCTTAACAAATGTAAATCTAACTCACTATTATGCAAACTGAAGAGAAGGGGCAGTTAATAAAATACAAAATAACCGGGTGTTTTATTACGCCGGGTGCCAGATTCCTCAGTGCTGGAGCTAATGTGGTTTACGCATTATCTTCGAGATGCTACAAATGGAAAGACTTTTAACATTTTATTTGGTAATGAATGTCGCTGTAAGCATCACGGAACGTAGCTGGATTTTTAGCAGCATTTCTGAATATGTAAAACCAAAACTGACTCAATATCAATGTATAGGTTGAACAATAAAACACAGGGTTAATAAAACGCACATTAGAAACAGAAACTCTGATTAAATTTGCCTGGGGATCTCCTCTAACCATGCTGTGAAAAAGATGCAGATGCTATGACTTTTCCTGAATATTCTACTGCAGCAGTTTTTTGGGTGTCTTTTCCAGGAGCAGCCTGCATGTTTTTCAGGCCTTTGCACCAGCGCACATATGGTGGAACAATACTGTAATACACCCTGGTGGCATCTTTATCAGTGGAAAAGCCCAACCTTGCTATGAAATCCAATTAAACAGCCATTTTTGCCACATAAATTGATCCCTTTTTTTCCATCATTTTTGTTTTTTTCATTGCAGACTGCTCTATCTCCACATTAACGATACGAGATGAGGTACTCGCAGAAACATACACAGTAGCAGAATCCCCACCGTCTTTAAAATTCACTTTACAAAGGAAACAAGGCTCACAGGGGCACTCTGCCCTAATCAGGAACACTTGCTATGCCTCTTTAGTAAAAGCTGCAATGCACTCCAGCTCCGGCGAGTTCATCGAGGATCACAGCACATGTCTCTGCTCAGTCTCACCATCACGACATAGATATACATATAAAACCCTATATATATATATATATATATATAGTCCCCTGCAATGGCACAGAACAATAGCTGTGTAACTCCCAATCCCAGGACTTGCAAAGGACAAAATGCCGCCGAGACGCAAAACCTCTCGGCTTCCAGCCAGCTCAGAGCAACCCGGGAGAACCCGCAGCAAGGGTCCGCAGAGTCAAAATTATTTTCTGTTTTATCCTCCCTTTATCACAAGGCTGGATGTAACACAGCTGTAGACTTACAACTAATACTAGTCTCAAGGGGAAAGCAGTATAGTTACACTCAATTATACTATAAAGTATGACATCTCCAGAGAAATTACTAAGGCACTCTCTCTTACCTGGATGACAGTAATAAACCAGATATATTTATGATGGACTTTTGAAATCCATTACGTTTAAACAGCTTGCTGATTCTCATCATCGGCAGAACTGTACTTGCCACTGCACACCAAATGCAACTGTTAAGTCAAATGACCCAGGGAATTTAATACGAGTGCTATTCTCCCATTATTTTAAGTAGACTTTTATTAACTATGCAAAGCATGGTAATTGTTACAGATAGGGACACTTTTTCTTTTTAAAGAGCAGATGGATATAAAAAAACATAACTGAAAATGCTCCTTCAAAACCGTTTCTGAAGAGGTAAAAATACACAATGGGGGAAAAAAATCACCACGTAACCTTTCCCTCTGGGAAACGCAGGCTGCAGCGCTCAAGAGCAAGAGGAGCCAGATATGCAAGCAAAATGTCTGAACAGATTTTTTTATGACTGCATCTCTGCAAGGTCTTCTTTCACTCCATTCTCTTACACTTAAAATTCTTTGCTCTTTTTAGCAACAAACAAAATCATGTCTTAAATCAGTCTGGATGATCAGATAACTGAAGGACAACAGGGTCTATGCTTGCAGAACCATTTCTTCCATCCGCCGCCTCAGTACCCAAGCGCAAAGCTCATGAAATTCAAGTGAATCCACATCGATTCAACACGCTCACTTCTCACCTCTCGTGTAAAGAATTAAATAAAAAACTCTAAGGTTACGAAAGCAATCTGAATGCTCGCAGTGTGAGTGCGCCATGCTTCGTGACTGCTAACCTGCAGAACCAGGCACAACAGCAGGACTGGTGGCCATCTTCCACCCGTACTGGCTTGTTACTGTCAAGAAAAGTAGAGCAGCGTAGGCTTCTAGCTCCCCTTAGACCCAGCATTTACTAAAAGGGCTATGTGCTCCTCGTTTTTGACTTCTGGTCTCTATTTCAAGTGTCTCCAAAGGAAAGACTATTGCCTGAGCCCTGCTGCTTGATCAGCAGCTGGTGGTGTTGATCCTCCCGGACCCTCCGCCGCCGCAGAAAGGCTTCTCCCTTGCTGCAGGGCTGACGGACAGCTGGAGATGAAGTTGACCCTTACTCCAGCCCCAGCGGTAAGCTGTCCCTTCCACAGCTGGGCAGAGACAGTGTTCATAAAAATGAGCTCTTAACACTGAATTCCCACCTAAAAAGCTGGAGTGGTCACCAGACCTCAGCTAGATGAGAGATTTAAATACTCCGCATTTCACACAGAGACTACGAGAATGGAGTAAGAAAACAGTCTGTATTTAGCACCACCACCATCAGTTTCGACACAGCTGTTGAAGGAAGCTGTATCGCTCTCAAAGATTCAAGGTAAGCCAAAAAGAACTCTTGGAGTATAATATTGTTATTGCAACTTGTCTAGTACCAAACCATGACAAAGTGGCAGGGACTTCAGCCACGTGCAGCTCACTGCTGTGGACTTCCAACAGACCAATGATAAGACCAAGAAATCGCTTTCCCCAAGCTGTCTGATCTGGCCTGAGATACGAGTGACTGATATCTCAGAGAGAGAGTGGTCAGGTCATGGTTACTTGGGACCCACAGACAGATCAGGTTCATCTGTTCGTTCCTTAGATTCAGGTGCTCTCGGTAAGGGCTCTGAAATTCTAAAAAAAAATATGCAACAAGACCCTCTCCAATTTTATCCTCTTGTGTAATTTCAAGAGTTAAAATATTAATGACATGTAAGCATCCAATACATAATGCAAGTGTACAGGTGACCAGGTTTACCTTTCAGCCCTCCAGGATCACTGGCAATTACCAGTACGAAGTACCCTCACACCAGCTGCCGTGCGCTCTTCTAACTCGGAGGTGACACAGATGGACGCACCAACACATTCGCGCTGAGAGGGACACCGACGGACTGCCATCCCGGGATGGCCAGGCCATTCCCAAGGCAGCCCGGGAGCCATAAACTCCGGCATGCACACCAGCCCGGCCACGCATCCCAACTGCAGACACACAACCACCTCTTCTACAAGGCATAAACTCACTGTCTTTGAACTGGGAAGACTTTCTTCACACTTGCTCAGAAGCGCTTTTGGATCTGCAGAAGCGTGAAAACCTGTTTGGAAGATTTTCTTCACTCCAAGACGAGGATGCAACCGCGCGTGCTGAGGGGTGGGGTGGAGGGCTTTAACCCAGGAGTTTCCTTGAAAGGACGCGCTACTACGGACCCCACCGCCTCCAGCTTCGCCGTCAGTCGTGTCACCAGCGGGCTGCTTTTGAGCCCCCAACCCGGCACGCTGCGCTAGTCCCCGGGGCTCTGCCTGCGCTTGCCTGCGGTCCTTACCAGCACACCTACACCGACTGTTCTGACTCCATCTCACCCGAGCAGGGCGAGCTCCAGAGAAGCATGCAGAGGAGAGGCGCCTTGCCTGGTACTAACCATTTCACGTGGGTCTCAAAATTGAATGTGAAAAATGTTTGTGAAAATACTTCCAGCCACTTGCTTTTTTCTAACATCGCACCGTATGTGCTTGCTTTTCTTGCACTTAAATACCAAGCCTTACACCTAGACCTGAGAGTTTTGAACCTTGCACTTTGTAAACAGATGAGTACACCATAAAACAGCACCCTGCTCGCTAAAACAGTGAATATTGATGCCACAGAGGGATTTGCCTAGATCACTCTGAGAAGTTTAACGTTTCAGTAGCAGAGCACTGACCCAAAACAGAGAGCAATCCAGTGACAGAGGTATTTCACTGGGCCTCTGGGGCTTGGTCCCCAAGCTCCAGCTGGGGCTGGAGGACAGGGACCATGGAGGCAGGTGTCTTCTCGCCCCAGCCACGCCACTCCTGAGCTCCTGGTCTCGGCAGTGAGAACGCACGCTCAACTACTTCAGGGCCTTCTGCACGTGTCTCTGAAACAGCCGCTAATGCCACAACTGGCAGCAAGACCAGACCCACCAAAGTCATTCCTCTACCGACAAGACTCTAAACACAACCTAAGGGTTATTTTTTAGCATCTCTCTTATTACTGCATTTGCAAATTTGGCATTGAGTTTTCTCCCTGAAATCACTAAGTATCACTGACCTTCCCTGTATTTAGCAACATCCATATGTATGGAAAAAAATTATTTCCCTGACTCATCCTCTGGAGAAATCCCCACAGTACTGAATCTCTTGTTGGAGGGGCTGATTTTTCATTTCTAAAAGCAGCAAAAGGTTTTGCTGCTTTGTGGTATTTTGGTAGACTGAAAGAAGGAATAAATTGAAAATTATTATTTTGGAAACTGGCTTATTTAGACATTTCATATTTTCCTTGACCTCAGTAGCTTTGGGACCGTCACCAGTAATCCAGCAGCATTTAAGAACTCTCTGCACCTGCGAAGCTGTAATCCACTGACGCACAAGCAGAGATCACGTCGTTGGAAGCCAACAGATTTCTAATGAATGATGGCATGTAATTGACTCAGGCACTGCAAGCTTGTCTCTTGGCTGGATTAATCCTTCAGACAGCCTCTCACAATACCGCTAAGTAACGCTTACCGTTTAGGGCAATTTCTCTTCTTCAGCACCCATTTGCATACGCATCTGTGTTTTTTGATGGCTAAGGAGGTGCAAGGAGTGCATCCACTTCTGCATCTACTTAAAACATCTGAAACCTCCAGTGCAAAACTCACATCACCCAAGCACATCCAGAACATATGTGTTGCAAGCCATACATACCGTAGTGTATTTTCCCAGCTGGCAGAGCGAAGGGAAGGTTTCCTGGTGAGCTTTTCGGATCTTCTCAGTGAGATCATCCAACTCTGCTGTCATTTCATAATTTTCTGTGGACTCCTGCTTTGGAGGTTCCTTCTTCTTTTTGTTCCTGTCATTTCTGACAGCTAAAGAAAAAGCAGCGACACAGATCACATGTGGTTATGTAGACTGTTCCATGTTGCTTTTGCTGCTCTACTTCAAAGCACTGCAAAACGCTTTTATTTTAAACAGATTATTTTAAGCGGATATAAAAATATAATATGCACAGAGAATACTAATGCAAGCTTAATTACTTAACCATAAGAATTAAATGTAATGGGTAATGATGAAACCAAAGTTCCACAGGGGCTTGTTGTGGACATGCCATCACACTCCCACAGTGTCTACCTTCCAAGAAAGTCTACTGCAACTTCACATGCACTGTAAGTGCCTCAGTAACTTTGTGAGGTGGAATTTTTTCCTTACAGCTGTGCATGGTGAATGGCGAAGTCCACTGCAGTGATGCAGTCAGCATTTTATTGGACGTGAACAAGATTAAAAAAAGACAGCAACTGCCTCTCTTCTGAGATTTCTCGGAATGGAAGATAACAAAACCCACACTAATAAAAACTCCACCAAGCAAAACTTATTTAGAAGGAAAGTTAAGTGTGAAAACAGTAAATGAAAGAAGATGAAATGCATTAAACTCAAGATCTGAAGATCAAAGGAGAAGCACAAACACTTGAAAGAGTAAAAATGGCAGTGAAGCTATCTAAAGTTGCTTGCCATCTGCTCCTGCGCTCAGAGCAGCCTTCTACCTTCCCCCGGCCGTGGGGGATTACTGGAAATATGCATTGTGCAGCGCTCGTGCTGTAATTGATTTCCCACATATTTGTGTTTTGTAATAAAACATGACAGCTGCTCCATCACCACGCTACTCTTTGTTCTTCTGATGAAAATAGCTTAATTTTACAAAACGTGCCCAGGAGATAAGTCTCTGTCCGCAGTATTGCCAGTACTTGTGAATTTGATCAAGAGGCTTGTTTTTAGCTAAATCTAACATCTTAAGCACAACCAGATGCATAAAGCTTTGCAACAAAGCCAAGCAAAATCAATCCCTCTCCCCAAAGACTCTGTGTCAATATTAAACACTCTGAAGACTAAATGTTATTGGACAAATAAAACCAATCCTAACTTTCACTTGTGTTCAAAACCTCCTGATATTTCAAACAAAGCTCTGAACTCTGAGGGTGTGGCCGGTGGGTTTGCCACACATGGGGATGGCCGGGGATTTTGGATGGCCAAACATCTGCTGATTCTCATTTGTACCATCCTTCCCCAGAGAGCGCATCTATCTGTGCCGTAGGGAGGGAAGCACAGTGAAATGGGCAGATGCCCGGAGTCACCTCCATGCCAGCTCTATTCCCCCTTGGGTCCATCTCCACGTCTTCTGTGGTTGCCTCCTACAGGCCTGTGAACCGCAAA